ACATCCAGCTTCACCCTGCATTCCTTGTATACAGGCTAAGCAAACAAGAAAAGGATTTCCTAAAGGTCAAGTGATACGGACATCTGAGCGATTGGAGCTTGTTCACACAGATGTATGTGGACCTATGTCCGATCCAAGTTGGAGAGGAGTCAGATATATCTTAATGTTCACAGATGATTTTTCACGTAAAACTTTTGGCTATTTTCTCAAGACCAAAGACGAAACTTTTTCAATTTTTAAATATTTTAAAAAGACGGTTGAAAATCAGATTAGTCTTAAGATTAAAAGGCTACGATCTGATAATGGCACAGAGTTTTGCAATAACCGTTTTTCTGATTTACAAAATAGTGAAGGCAATCTACGTACATGAGTTAACAGTATCACATACACCTGAACAAAATGGTGTTCAAGAAAGAACAAATCGAACAGTGCTGGAGAAGGCAAGATCTATGTTGCATGATTCAGAAGTGCCGAAGGCGTATTGGGGTGAAGCTGTGTCAACTGCTGTTTACCTTAAAAACCGTAGTCCTTCTACTGCTGTAAAAGGATTAACTCCTGAAGATTTGTGGATGGGTGGCAACATAAGTAATTTAAAAATTTTTGGTTGTCTTGCATATGCTTATATTCCAAAACAATTTAGGGGAAAATTTGATAAAAAATCAAATACTATGATTATGGTGGGCTATTGCGAGAACACAAAAGGTTATAGGTTAGCTGACCCAGAAAATACAGGTAAAGTTCAGAATGTTCAGGATGTAATTTTTGTTAAAAATGTCATGTTCAGTAAATATGTTTCAGGTTTAAAAAATTCTTTAAATAAAGATGATAACAAATTTTTTATATTATCCTTCCATGGTTAACAATTCGATAGAAAGTCAAACTGAATCCATCGCAAGTAACTAACCTCATACATCTCCATCTATCAGTTCTGTTAGTTGTGTTGATACTTCTAAAGTTGAAGAACTTCATGATGAAGCTTCACCCTCTTCTTCTTCGTCGACCGCCTCTTTGGATGAAAGATTATTTAATTGAATCAGATATATCTTATCAGCTTTCATCTTGTTGTGCAGTCACAGAGCCAACGACCGTACAAGAGGCAATCACTATATTGTACTATACATACTATAAATACTATGTATAATTTTATCTAGTCAACACTCTGATTTTATATCATACAGGGTGCGATAAAAAGGTTTTTTTTATATTTGACAACTTAATACTATTACAATATCTAATTCAAACATAGTAGTGAAAATTTAGACTTTTTTGCCTTATTATATTATTTTTTTTTAAAGAATTTAAAGATATTAAACGGAACCCATGGTATATGGTTATCTCTTACAGAAAAGAAAAAATATATCTATCGCAATATCGACTAAAAAGCCAATAAAGGAACTGCTTAGCTCGTTATATTTTCAGAAAAATAGGCACATCAATTTTCTTATTTTGTAATAACATCACAAATATTATATATTATGTTAGTCCTTTGCTCACTTTTATCTCCTGTTCACACGTTTATCCCCTGCGATTTATTTTAGCGCCCGTTTTTCAAACTCGTAGGGAATTATAGCAGAAGAACAGATGATGTTAACAGAAGATTAACTTCTGTATATCGCTATAATGTTGTATTGTTCGATACAAGACGTCATTGAGAGATTTTTCTAGCCGTTCGGCCGTTCTGAATATACAAGGGTAATTCCAAAAGTAAGGTCTCTCTTTCACCAAGAGCACTATAGTAATCATTGAAGATTTGTGTAATTTATAAAATTAAAGTGAGAGCTCTCTTCTAGATAGTTATTCGATGTTTGATATTGCATATCACACATGATTACTCCTATATTAAAATAATGGGTAGCGAGAGGATGTCCGCAGGGTGGAGTGCTGTCTCCACTCCTGTGGAACCTTGTAGTGGACGGGCTGCTTAGGGCTCTCAACGATAAGGGACATAGAATCCTGTGATATGCCGATGATCTAGTAATCATGGCACAGGGAAAATACACTATAGAAAGAGATCGAATGCAAGGGCTCTAAATATGGTAACAAAATGGACAGAGGCGGAAGGACTAAACATTAGCCCAAACAAATCTGACATAATTGCATTTACCCGCAGGAGGAAATTGGAGGGACTAGGGCCTCTAAACCTAAGAGGTGCAAGCATCCAGCTTAAGGGGGTAAAATATCTCGGGGTTATGATTGACTCGAGACTTACCTGGAACCAGCATCTAGAAAAAATCACAAGGAGAGCGGAAACCTCGTTAATGATGGCAAGGCGATCCTTTGGAAAAAAAATGGGGGTTAAAACCAAACATGGTATATTGGCTTTATAACATGTTGGTGAGACCGATAATAACATACGCAGCTTTGGTGTGGTGGACAAAGACACAGCAAATGAAAGCAATAATAATAATAATACTCTCCCTAATTCACCCCCTTACGAGTGAATTTTAACCCCAAAAGCTGAGCTTGTCCGGGGAAAGGGACGGCAACGAGACTAAGCAAGATACAAGGACTTGCCTGCTTCGGAATAAAGGGGACAACGAAAACAACCCCCACAGCTGCAATGGAAGCACTAATAGAACTCCCATCTCTTCACTATGTGATAGAAGGGGAGGCAAGATTAGGTACTTACAAATTAGGGAATACACTGGGAAATCTTGACATTAGGCCAGGTCACATGACTATCTCAATGTTAGTGACAGGAGACGTGCTAGACATGAGATCAGACCACATAACCAAGAGGTGCTCTTTTAATATTCCATTTGAGGTTTTAATACAGGAAAGAGCGGAGATCACCATAAGGGACACAATGCCTAACGACAGGAACAAACCTGATATATAGACGGGTCGAAGACTGCGGAAGGCATTGGGGCGGGAGTATTCTCCAAAAACCCTGATACTAACCGTAGCTGTGCTATAGGAATACATTCCTTAGTATTTCAGGCCAAGGTATACGAAATTTTGCAATGCGCAAAAACGAACAATGAAATAACTGTCGAAAATCAGCATATTCAAATAATGTCAGACAACCAAGCGGCACTTAAGGCCATATCGAGTCAGAAAGTTACGTCGAAGAGAGTACGGGAATGCATAGAAAAACTAAGAACACTGGCAGACCGAAAAAGAGTAAAACTATTTTGCGTACCAGGTCACCAAGGGATCCAAGGCAACGAAAAGACTGACGAACTTGCAAAAAGAGAGTCAGAAGAAACACCCAAACCAGAAACAACCCCAGGAGTACCAAAAAGTATAGTCCGGGGTTTCATAACCGACTGGATTCGGGAACAACATATTAACTATTGGCGAAACACCCCAAATCAGGCACATTAAAAAGCCTTCATAGACAGACCATGTCCCAAAAGAACTAAAAAACTACTCTTTATGACTAGGAAAGTGATAACAGGGTTCATGACTGGGCCCGCCCCAGTAAAGGGACACTTGAACAAAATTGGCATGTACAATGGGGAACTCATGTGCCGACTATGTCACGAAACCAGAAACGGCCAAACACATACTGTGCGAACGCTAAGCTCTAGATCGCAAAAGACAGGCACTTTTTGGACAACCTAAGGTTGATCCAATAGCGTATAGAACCCACTCACCCAAGGATCTGTACAAACTTGTACAAGGTACAAAGGTGAGAGTGGGTGCTATGAACTAACATGGGGTAAAACACAATAAGCCAATAGGCTTCAGTGTTATTCGGAGACACAGTCAGAGGAGCCCAGGAGAGAGAAAAAATTAAAATAATTAAGTATTGATTTCCTTGTGATTTACCTCACACAATATACCTAATTTTTTAATAAAAAAGGGATAAAAAATAACAGTTTTATACTATAGCCCTTGACAAATATATTATTTTTTATAAGTGACAATCTTTGTTTCTTGCTGATGAGTCCTAAATAAAGTCAGAAACCGGATCAAGAATGAAGTTCTCCTTAGTAAGCAAAAACAGAAGTGTTGAAAATAATTTTCTATCCCACATATTTTTTTTATGTATATTGCGGCATTAGCCAATGCTACAGATGTTTCTGGAAAGAAATGGTATTATTTTGTGAAAATGGCTTTCAGATTTTCTGGTTTTTCTTTATTTCAATTTTATTTTTAATAGTAACTACATGATTTTTTATTATAAATATAAATATACAAGATGGTCACATTACAGTGTTTACCATTGGAATATCCTAAACGGTAAGAAATACAGTATTGGTTAAATTAAAGAAAAGTTGCCCTATTTTATGATTAGCAAGAATTTGTTTTAAAATCAAAAATATCTACAGGGTGTCCCAAAATATCGGATAAAAACTAAAAATTGTCATTATGGAAAACTTATTATATTGTCTACATCGTTTGAGCAATTTTAACGAAAATTTGGACATTTGTATTATGAGCTACGCATAATCTATTGGCGCTATCGAAAAATTTCCAGACCATCTAGATTTTGAGCAACCGTAGACAACTTTGTCATTTCTTATGGCCGCCATATTGAATTTTTATACTCTTAAACAGCCAATTCCAATTCAACGATATCATACAAACCAAAAAATTTCTAAAAAAAGAGGTTAAGCTAAAATCTTATTTTTCAATCTTTAGTTTTTCTTTTCTTATGGACGCCATTTTATTAGTTGTTATTGCAATTTGGATTTTAAACATCAATAACTCCCTTGAAATGTCATTATTATTTTTACCTATTCGTTAATATCAAGTCGCCATGTCATTGACATTATTGGCATAGAAATCCAATATGGCGTCCATAAGAAAAGCAAAACTAAATATTGAAAAATAAGATTTTGATCTAACCTCATTTTTCTTTAGGAAATGTTTAAAAAAACAAGAAATTTCATGAAAGTAGCCGTTTTTTAGTGACTTTTAACTTAAGTATCCGTTCTGTCAAATAGATCAGTGACATTATTTTAGGGTTACTACTGAAAATTCAGTAACTAGGTATACGGATTTTATTGAAAAACTCTTTATTTCGTCATAATATGTATATAGTAACTTACCATGGCAAGGAACTTTTCTTAGGATACTCAATTTTTTCTCGATTCTTTTTTGAGTAAACGAATTCTCGATTCTTAAAAAATGCCTCGGAATTATTCCAACCTCTCGAAGTCGCATATCGAGAGTTTGAGAAAGAGAAGGCCACCATCCTTGATCTGAAAACAAAAAAAAAACTTTATTGATTTTCTGTTATTCAAATAAGATAACGAATTCAAATTGGAATAATATATGGAAAAATAAACTGAATTTGTCTAGCTAACGAAAGTAATGCGATGTGAATACTGTCAGTTGGAAATGGTCCCGAAAATAGTATATTACTATTTATTTCAATTTGCAGAGTTCCCTCTAACTCAAATGGTATCTAAATTTTTAAGTAAGAAACTAAACAAAAATTTTCAATTTACAAAAAACGCATATAAAAATCAGTGGTGCGCTTAGAGCTGGGCTTGAGTCGCCCCTGCAAAAACTACCTTTTATTTATATTTTTGTATTCAAGAAGGAGAAAGACATGTTGAACATTTTTTAAATTAAATAGTTTATAAAATATGTATAATAATTATTGTCAAATGTTTATTTTTAATTGTTAATTTTTAGTTAATTGTTTAATTAAAAAAATAATTTTTTTAATTACTATTAAATTTAATAAATACATTTACAAACTAACGTGTATTTTTACCAGTGGCATGGTGAATCCAGGAGGATGGGTGGCACACCATTATTATACACCAATATTATAAATACCTTTTTTAAAAAAATATAAATAAAAGAGGAAATATTTCTTAAAGCTCCTCTAAGAACTCAATTGTACAAAGAAAAATTTCCTGAATTACAGATGCCACCTGAACCTGTGATTACTTGGTGGGGTACCTGGCTTAAAGCTGCCTTTTTTACGCAGATAATTATGAAAAAATTAAAGAAATCATATTTGATTTTGATGATTCATCTAAGAAAATATCTAATACAAAAAAGTTGTTTCAAAATCACATATTACCAAAGCAGTTAGTGTTTTTAAAAAATTATGCATTTGTACCTAAAATTATATTAGATTTAGAACAAAAAATTTACCTTTGGTGACTTCCGTAAATTTAATTAAGACGTTTGAATCAGAGTGTAAAAATGCCCAGGGCAATATTGGAAAGACGATTTTTCATAAATTTTCAAATGTAATTTTAAAAAATGAAGGATTTATTGTTTTAAGAAACCTTGCTAATATTTATTATGGTAACTTTGAAGATATTAATACTATTCATCCAGATATTTCAGGAAAATTTAAGTTTGCACCCATTATTACTTCTGTAGAGGTCGAAAGGAGTTTTTCTTCGTACAAGTACATACTTACTGATAGGAGACAATCATTTAATACTGATAATTTAGAAAAACATCTAATTGTTCATTCGTTTTATAATATTGTTGATTTGTAAATAAAATTAGTTAATAATAAATATTAATAAACTATTTCGATCAAATAACAAATTACTCTTATTGCATATGCTCTGCATATTTTTTAAATTTTTATGCATATATTGAAGTATTTTGCGGCATATATATGCACATATTTAACTACTTTTTGGGTGCATATATACCTAGGTCTAGTTATCATACTCTCCGCCTTTATCGGATCTAAAAGTTTTAATCTTCTTATTAGATTGATTTTCAGCCAGTGCTTTACATTTTAGAAAGTTGTAGACTTCAACTTTGCGTTGAATAAAATACACAAATATTTTTCTAGAATAAACGTTACCATGTATATAGAGCCTCCCAACGATTTATTTTCCATTGGCTCACATACATCGGAATGAATTAACTCAATCGTCATCGATTGGGTCTTCTTTTATTTGAAAATGGTTCTCCTGAGCACACGCAATGCAGGGATCAAAGTTGTGAGTAGGATATTAAAGACCAGTAACTTATTTCTTGATTTGTCGCATACCATTATTACCTAAGTATCCAAGGCGTCTGTGCCAATATTATAAATACCTTTTTTACAAAAATATAAATAAAAGAGGTAGTTTTGCAGGGGCGGCTCAAGCACAGCCCTAGGCAGACCACTGATTTTTATATGCGTTTTTTTGTACAATAACTCCTGACCTACTCTTAGTTTTGTTGATATGTTAAGTCCAGGACGAACGAATTGCTCTAGAAATTCAGTTAAAAAATTGTAAATAGCTCATTAACTAAGAAAGATACAAAGTTCATTTCGCTATAAAAAAAATTAAAAATTCATAGTTCTTTTTGATTTTAAGATCGATAAAGCAAGTTTCTTCATGTTAAAAAAAATACGGGGGAGTTAAGAGGTATCCAACCCCCTAACTTTTTAAAAGGGGTCGCTTTAAATGTTTTTTCTCCTTAGAACATTGGGCCTTCAAATCTACAGCACTGGCAAAAATTTCAAAGAAAAAATAGCAACAGCAAACTTTTACAAAAAAGAAAAATTGTTTAACGCCCTGTAACTTTATTGGGAGTCAGTTTTTAATATACCTAAATATAGCCAAATCCACTTATTCTTTGGTAATCTATCTGAGGAAGAATTTATGACATACCTTTTTGAAACACTCTGTATATATCTTCATTCTAGTTATTTAAATTTAGTAAAATTTTGTTATCATATAGGTAACACGAAAAATATTTAAGTATTAAAAATAAATAAGTATCATTACATTATTTTATATATCTAAAAATTAATTATTTTCGGAAACACAAAACAGATAATAAAAAGTAAAAAATAAATCACAGATATTTAGATATTTAGAAAAAATATTTAAAAATTGTTGTTGGAACAAAATTTTTAATTTTTATTTTAATATAGAAATAATTTAAAATCTTAATAAAATGTGGAATTTTTAAAAAATACGTCGTGCAAATAAATAAAACGCTTTCTGTCCAATTGACTTTATGGCTTTTGCGATTTTAAATTATAATTTTTTTTGTACACAGTATACTTGCATTGAAAACATGTGTAATCCATGCATTAATATATATTAAGAGCGAAACTGGACCAAGAATTGTTCCTTGAGGTACTTCAGCCACAATTTGTTATTTCTGTATCGCTCTGGCTTTTAATTTGCATAAATTGTACTCGATTATTTAAATAAGATTTAAATAGAACCAGCGAATTTATTATACAGGGTTGGTCTTTTTCATTTCTTTTATTCACATATTATTGTTGAGAAGTTACTTGTTTGATTATTACTTAATTAATTAGTTTGGCCTTCCGTGACCGGTCTAGCCTTATGAATTAGTGTAATATGTTGGATAAATTTCCAACAACCCCGTTTTAAATACAAAATATAATCTAAATATCCACGCCTTTTAAATTTAAAAATATATAATAAACTTTTTTGTTATATAAGAGACCCAAACAATTTAAAATTTTTGAATTATCTATTCAGAAATGTTGAAGAATTATTTGACCCTTAGTGTGTAAATTCTGTTCATATCCACCCTGCCTATCTTTTATCATCTTCAGCTACCCTCCAGGTTAAAAAAACCATTTTATAGACTTAATAATCAAAATATTGAATAAGCTGGAAACCAAATTGTAAAGCAACTCTGAAATGTTCCACATAAAAACAAAATTAATGTTGTAGAATGAATGACTATTGTGTCTTATCTTATAAAGCTGTGTTAGCGAATTACTTTCAAACAATGCCATCAAAATTTAAATTAAAAGATAATGGCTCCATTAAGTCTAAGCTATTAAAATAATAGGGGTGGGTTATTTACATTTTGATACACTTAGATCCATGATGCTTTCATTATAACAGGAAACAAAACAAACTTAAAATTTAAAGACTAAAGTAAATATTATTATAAGATTATTCTGAATTATAAATTCAGATATAATAAGACTATTTGGCATAGGCGTATACAGGGTGGGGGCTAAAAACAGCTGCCCCGCCTGGTTCTTCCAATATACAGTGTCACGCATAGTCCGAATCATATGGTATTTTTTTCTAATTGCTGTAGATAAATTTTGACTGGCATCATTTGTTAAATGATAAAAAAAATTACATGCAACTGGTCAATCTCGTGATTTTTTGTGAATATAAAAATTGAAATTTTTTCCCATGAATTACAAAAAAATGGCATTTTTTAAATTTTTTGTGAAACGCGTAAATAAAGTTGCTTTTTTTATAATTTTTTACCGATATACAAAGTTTCAATTTTATGCCGCAACTTTTATTCTTTTTTTTTTAATTTTTTCTACAATTCAGTTTTGGGTTACTGGAATTTACGCAATATTTAAAAACAAAAATACATTTAAATGGAGGGCTTCGCGTAAAAAAATATAGGTCTATTAAAATTCCAGTAAACTAAAAATGAATTTCTCGAAAAACCAAAAAAAAAACAAAAGTTGCGCGAAAAACTTTTAAATTGGTATTTTCTTTAAATTGTGCTCACTTCTATGTTTCTATAGTACAAAAATAAGTGTATATATATATCGTTTTCAAATTATATTTTCCTGTCCCTCCTGGACGAATTCCTGCCTACGCCCATGCTATTTATATAGATATTTACGGTATATTTTCTAAGGACTTTCTTTAAATAACAGTAATTTTAAAAACATTCACTTTTTAGAAAATCACAGGTTGTCCAGAAGTGTTAACCCAGACAACACATCAAATCCCAGAGATATCCACAGAATATCTTTTGTGGATATCCAATATAATCCACATGATATCATAAATATTCCGTGGATCTAATATGGATATCCAAATGTCCGTCTATATCCAGAATATTGAAGATATCATATGGATATCCAGCAAAATATCTAATGAGTATCTTCCAGACAATACAAGAAATCCCAGAGATATCCAAAGAATACTCTTCAGCAATAAATGGAAATTCTCGACTCTAATGGAGTCTGGTTGTGAAAAAAATTTCGATCGAACTGAATTGCGGCGGGTTGAGCATGAGTAGATGCGAAAGTAGTATCGCCATCTATACTTAGTAAGCAAAATCAAAAATTACATCTAGTGGATATCCACGATGGTTTGCGTTCGCGCCTAGACTTTGATATATTTAGTGGATGTCCATGGGATATTGAACACACCTTAAAAAAATTAATTTTAAATATCTGAACGGTACTATTAGTTACAATGGCGAGCACAATGGCGTACTTTTTTAATAATTTGCTATATAATTACTATTATTT